TTGGGGGTTAATAATTAAAAAAAATTAATATACTTAAAATATTTCTCTGATTTAGTTTCTCTAGATTTATTAAATAAATCCAGAATATCTGGTTGCAAGAATTTTCCCCAAGCAGAGGAGTGTTATAAAGAAGAATAAAGTTAGGCAAGAAAATTGGAAACACTTAATAGAATCATATTTGGACTGAATTTGAACTGGGAAGAAATCTATGGGGAAAGAGAAAAGAATAAGCAGAATAAAGTACGTATCAGAAACATGAAGTTATAGCTGGTGATTAACCACATAAAAGCATACAATAATAGAGGAAAGATAAAAAGTATTTTTTATAAAAGAATCGTACAGGATCCCACGAAACTCTAAGAGATAAAGGAAAAATTAGATTAAGATATACTTAAAATACATTCTAAGAGATATGTTAATAATGACATAATTGAAAACATCATGAAAGTAGATAGGATCAATGCATTTGTTCATAGTGGTGGGAGACAAATAAGGAAAATGACTGCAACAATCGAAATCATGTTTTAGGTTTTCCCTACTTTATGTCCTGCTTATTAGTCTCTCCGAAAGAGGGTAAACGACTTCCGGATTAGAAACTTCTTTCTTGTAAACCTTGTCTCTTTACCCCCATCATTGTGATCTAAATTCTCCAGTTCTAATCATTATTAGAAACTTCCTTTTTCTTGTCTTCTTTTATCTCCTCTCTATATATTGAGATAAGAGTAAAGAAACCAAACCAAAAAGAAGGGATTAAAAAATAAGAGGGTTGTGAAGGAGACAAAACAAAGTTAAAGGACAGAAGTATGAAACAGGAAAGATTGATTTTAATAATATTATCAAATAATTGTGCAACTAACTAAGAAGACACATTAAAAAGGGAAGGTAATTAACTGAACATGCATCTTGGGAATAAATACTAGAAACAACAAGAAAAGCAAAATAAAATTAGAGTTAAAGAAAAAAACAGCATTGTGACAGGTATGCAGATATGTGTCTGTTAGATGGGTATTTTCTTTGATTTAGTCTGATGTTTTGGACTAGTGATGTTTTTTGTCACAGAACTTAAAATGTTTAGAAACAGCTCCGTAGAATGAAGATCTTGGTTGTTCCCACATAAATTGCTAGCTTAAATGTTCCTACAACCGTCTTTTTAAATAGCTCTTTCCATTCCAAAGTGTGCTAGGACCTCTTTTTAAATCTATCTTGTAACATTTGCATTGTAGTTGTAGCCTTGTAGTAACTACACACACTAGAGGGGAAAGACTCATATCCAAGTGAAATAAGCATGCATAAGCGTTAATTTTCTAGTTTGGACTGATCAACAGATTTCATCCTATCATCACATCTTTGGGAATGAATTCAGACATGTGGCAAATAGCAGGGATCTGTTGGGAACTAGCGCAGCCCTGCAAGACATTCATTCCTGTGTTCCAAATAAAAACGTTGCCGATTGGCTGTCAACATTTGGCTCTTCATATGCCCGACATTCATCACAGACTTCACCTTCAAATGACAACAAGGGACAGATAGCAATAGGTTTAAAGATATTAAGAAAACCACTTATTTCTCATTTGTTTATGATATTCTTCTAAACTGTAATGTCTCCAAGTATCATTCAGTTCAGGTGCTAATTTGTTATTTCAGCATCTTTTATTCCTGACAAAATAGAAAAGGGCTGGGACGGACATTCAGACAAAAAGAGAGAGAGATACCAGTAACTTCAGCCTAAAGGGTTCTTTTCTGATGCTAGATTGCCTTGCCTCTTTGCAACCATCCCCTCGTCCTACCTCCAATCCCTGTAATTTACAGCATTTATATCCTAAAAAAACAGCATATTGACTTCAAATAAGTCTTTACTTTCCCTCCTTAGCATGTTAAAGGATTCTATGAAGACAATTAAAGAGTCTTATTCCCAGTTGGGCTATTATCTTTTAGTACTTTTAGTATCTTTTAGTATCTTTTAAAAGACTGTTATATTGATGTTAATATCAATTAAATATATTTAAATAATTTACATTCTAATATAAACGTCTCTAAGAAAAGGTGGCATACAGATATTAAGTGAATAATTTGTCTAATTGTCCATGTGTTTTCTCTGTCCCTCTTGAAAGACAGTACTAGAAACCTCATTGCAGGCTGTTGAAAATCAAATTACTTAGTACTGTAGAAGAATCCCAAAGGTCAGAAATGTGCATGAAGAGACTTCACATTTGATGCCAAATATAATTCCTAAATGAAACTTCTATTTCAAATAATAACCTTCACCATGCCAGACATATTGAAGAAGTTATGTTGGTATACAGTAAATGCAACACATAAACATAAATGATATTTTTGATGACATTACCATGAATGTGTTTTTCTCAAAAGTATTTTATTTTAAAAATTTAATAAAAAGTGTTTTAGATACACACTTTAATTTCCATTCTTTAGCTTTAAAAAAAAGAAAAAAATACAGCAAAATGTAATGATAGATATGCTGCTTATTTGACATTATATTCCATAAAATTGGACTTTGTAATCATGTAATGATATTTTAAGTACAAAAGGAATTGCATTTTAAGAAAAAGCTGTTTTAATACAATACAAACTTTTATATATTTGAAAAACTACTGCAAGGCAGGATAATGAAAATTCAAGAGTTACTGTTATCACTAATGCATAGAGCCCCAGTAAGTTCAGTTGTATCACACTTTGCATGACTGCAGAAACTCATTTGCTTAAATAGTGGCTTTTCACCTGAAATGTCCCTTAATATGCGAACATAAATCCTGACATTTTATTTTGAATTGTGTTAATGCTAAGCTTTTCAGAATTGATTCAAATTTTCACTTCATTAAGATCTCTTACAAATTATTCATCAATATCTCTTGGGACAGTTGTTGAAAACTTTTAATTCCAAATCAGTTAAAAGGATTAGAAAACACAGCAACATTTTCCAAGTTGCATCCAGAAGCCCCAAATCTTTACTGAAAGAAAAATATATTTGACAATATTAGGTTTGCTATGTTGTGTTTATGTTTCTAAGTACTGGCATTAACACTTGTGTTATAGCAGCATATTATAGCCCTGAAGCTTCAGAGGAATACCACTGAAATAAAAACAGTACTGAAAGAGAAGAAGCCAAATTGTTCATTTCATTGTTTTTACATTGCTGCACTCTTTGATAATTCCTAGATTTACAGTACAATCATGTGGACAACAGAATAGTTTCCAACATAAGAAGCAAACCTTTTCAAACAATTATGTAATATCTGGGTCACGAGTGTGCACAATACACTGTACTGGCCAACAGCCAGAAATGTTTAAGTTTGTAAATACTTTGAATTTTCAGTATGTCAGCATAAATTAGGACATAAAACATGATCTGCTCTCTGCACAAATCCTACAACTAGATGAAGAGAATATAATTAAACAAATGAGTAAAAAACATTATCCTTCTTCATATTTGGTTCATGTATGGTAAAAATATGTGAACCTTTGTTTTTATTAAGGGGTGTGCAATTGCCCCTCACCTCTTGGGCAGCAATAACTGCAACTAAATATTTCCAGCAACTGTTGCTAAGTCCTACTTATCTTAGAGAAATTTTAGCCATTCCTCCTTATAGAACAGCTTCAATTCAGGGGCGCTGGTGAGCTTCCTTATATGAACTGATCGTTTCCTGTTCTTCTACATTTCTATTGGCTTATGGTCAGGACTTTGATTTAGCCATTCCGAAATATTAACTTTCTTCTGCTTTAATCATTCTTTGTCATACAGTTTGTATATTTTGGGTCGTGGTCTTCCTGAATGACCCACTTACACTTGAGCTTTAGTTCACAGACGTTTCCCTGTATAACTGCTGGTACAATTCTAATTCAATCATTGGCAGGGCATCCTAGGCCAGAGACAGCAAAACAGGCCCATGATACTGCCACATTTCAGATGGGATGTTTTAATGCTGGAATTCCATCCCACATTTTATTCAAGCCAGAAAATTCTAGCTCAGTCTCATCTATCCACAGAACATTCTTCCAATAATCTTCTAGCTTATCCACATGGCCTTTTGCAAACTGTAGATGGGCAGCAATGCTCTTTTGGAGAGTAGTGGATTTCTCCTAGCATCGCTGTATTCAGTATTCGCTCGATGGTAGTCTCGTAAGTATTGACATTTATGTGTGCAAAAAAGGCCTTTAGTTCCTTCAATGTTAGCCTGAGGTTCTATGAGACCACCAAGAATATTACAAGCCTTGCTCTGCGATTTTGATTGGTTGACCACTTCTGGAGAGGGTAACAATGGTGTTGAATTGCCTTCATTTGTATGCTATCTGCCTGACAATGGACTTGTGGAATCCAAATACTCTAGAGGTACGTAAAACTTTCCAGCCTAATAAGCAACTCTTGTTTTTCAAAGGTCCACAGAAATCTCCTTTGTTCAAGCCATAACACACTTCCACAGAACTGTGTTGAAAAGATCAGACTTTGACAGGGAATATTCAGAATTCTGTTCTTTAAATAAGGCAAGACCTCCCACACTCACACCTGATTAGCATCTCATTGATTGAAACACCGGACTGTAATTCCCCCTTCAAATAAACTGATAATTCTAGAGGTTCACACATTTCTGTTACCCAATAATATGTAGCTTTGGATCATTTTGCTCAATAAACGAACAAGTATCATCTGTTTAATTGGGTTTTTTTCTAGTTTTAGGATTTGTGTGAAGAACAGATCACATTTTAGGTCCCATTTATGCAGAAATATTGGAAGTTCAAGGTTCACAAACTCTGAAGCTGTGTAACACACTCCACTTAAGTTCCACCACAAAATCCGTTGTACTTTGTTTATTTAGAATTCATATTTCTATATAGCCCATCTCCCTCAAAGAGGGACTCTAGATGCCTCCCAATCACAAAGTCATTCTTGAACACTAATATATAGTCCAAAGTGGGCTAGAGGTATATAAAGAAACGTTGAAAAACAAAAATTTTGACAAGGCTATGTTCATATAGAAATCAAGGATAATATGCTTGGACCTGAACCTGTATAGCAGACCGTGCCCTGAGAATTCAAATTACTCTAGTCGGAATTTGGAATTTAGATTCAAAATAAAGAAGCAAAACCAGAATAACATATGCACTTGGCAAGATTTATAATTAAGACAGCCTTTATTTTGCTTATAAGTACAATCTGAAACATTGGAGAAGTGATACAAACGGCCAGTCATTGTACCTATTGGCCCAGATTAGGTCTCCTTGTTCCGTGTATAGTATACTGGAAAACAGATAGCATAATAATGTTGAATTTTCCCTTGATTTTTTTCCAAAATTGTAAAGATTGCTTTATAGAACGTCTGTACTCTGGCCTCTTATTTTATTAACAGTTATAGTCATTCAAATAAATATTTCAGAAAAAATAAAACCAAGTGTGTTTATACAATGCAGTCTAATTTATTCCAACAAAGTTATATTTGGGGATAAAAGTTTTAAGGATTTGCACATTGCAGGAGATAAAAAATTAGCACTGGGCAAAGTTTTAAATTTGATTTCAAAAAGTGCTTCAGAATGCACAGCAGCATGAACTAAGCCCGTTGGCAACCATTTAAAGCAATTACATCTTTTCCTGGGATCAGATAGCAATTGCATGGTCCTAGAAAAAGATACAGATACTTTACATAGCTGCTGAAATGTATTTTTGTGCCACTACACATCCTGAAGAATCTTTTTGGAATTAAATCTCTAGTAGGACATGTTCCTAATATAAAAATTTTGAAAGGTTGGTGAATGGAAGAACTGCTAGCCATAAAAATGGGGGGGAAATGGACCCATTGCAGTTACTTTGCTGCACAATAATGTAATTTCAAAGGTCATGTACATAATTTTTAGGAACTATCAAATCTGAGGTGTGCAGCTTTTTGTATTAATACCTGATTTTAATATCCAGTCAAAATTTGGAAACAACTTATTAATACAGTGCAAGATGTTGTCACTGGAATAAAGTTCAAATCATCAACAATTACTAAACACCATGTTTTGTTTCTGGTAAATTCAAAAGAAGTTAGCATTCAAGTCTAATCACTTATACTGGGAGAAAAGTATGTGGGTAATTTTTTTGCAGTTTTACAGAATGGTGTGAAAATACACCCAACTGCCTTATCATCTTGAAACATTATCCTCAACAAGAAAGATACAGAAAGGTTTAGAAATCTTGTCTTGTTGTGTTTGTAGTACTATGTTCAATAATTAAAAAATAGAAAATCTATATAGAAAATCTTTATACTTTCTTCACATGGAATAAGTCTCCTTTAAATTTATTTTGTACAAAACATTACATATTGCCCTTTCACTCCATAATTTAGTTGTCACACTACATCTGCAATTTGATGCAAAGCCAGCAGATAGTCCTATGTTAGCAATGCATCATAAGGACAAGAGCACAGCACAGAATCAACCAGTACATCATAAAAGCTGAAAAAGAAAATGATCCTGTCTCTTTGTTTTGAAAGCATGATGTAACTTGATGTCTAGATTAAGTCTAGTGAAGGTTGGTTATGTCTCTTACAACAGAGAAGTAATGTACGCATTATGGCACTGGCTCACTGTATTCAGACTAGTTTGTACACAAACATATAATACACAAGTACAACGTATACATGGTGAAATGTTTTTTGTTTCATATACATCAGATTTGAGTGTTGTTTTGTTCCTTAAAGAAGGAAAAATGTGGGAAAGAGTGCTGGAGGAAGTCCTGCTTAATTTGTTGCATATGGCCAAACGTGTTATAAAATGAAGTGCATGCTACTCAGAAACTAAATGGACTATTCCGATAACTAAATCAGATTAACTCAGATGCCAGAATCTATCCAAATATTTGCCCACAGGCAAATCAAAAGATTCAAACTATTTTCTTTTGTTGTTATTTATACAATTACAAGTCATATTAATCACCTTGGCATTTTTCCAAAAGAGGGGGGTACATTGTAAAAAGAAATGCACTGTACTTTTATTTTAGAAGTATTTATCAAACCATATGTGCAGATACTTGAGATGATGACAGTGTTAAGCTTCCTAGGGTCCTAGAGTCAAAGAAATTTTGCTGCCCCCCATTGCTAAATAAGTGCACTCCTTCTACAGGGGGCAACATCTGCCGATCAGTCATGGTTCCACTTGGTGATGACCCCAAGAAAGTTCCTTGGGAAGAAACAATTTTCTCAGGACTTGCAGCCAGTTTGCCCCTCCACCTCTTCAACATAGGTATGTCTCGTGTTCCCGATACGTCGGACTTTCACAACATTCTCAAGCCTACCCAAACTAAACGACCTTTCCGTAACGATCTACCTCCTCCATATTACATGACCTCAACACCTCTGTAGGGACTTTAAACGTAGCTATTAGGGCGGACGCCTGTTGACTTACGTAGTGGCAGTGATGCTGCCACAGGCATATTCACAGCTGAACCGTTTGGTACGCCAACGTAAGAGGGGGTTCCTGGAGTTGCAAAGGTCTCACTGGTTTGATTTGCAAGCCTGTTGTAGGTTTCAGTCAAGGAAGTACTGTACCTGTTAAGGGTTAGACCTGAGCGAGCACAGGCCGTATAGTCAGCTGAAGCAAGGCTGCAGAACTGGCTAGTATTGGGAGTGAGATGAAAAGCAGGAGAAGAACAAGGTGACCCAGGAAGGAGATGTGGATGAGTAGATGGTACCCCATTGGCAGATCCTTGGAGCAAACTGGAAGAACTAGTGTTTCCTGAAAGAAAATATCAGAATATTAAAGAAAGGCATTTATCTATTACTGTTGCATTTTGCCCTAAAGTGGCCAAAGTTAGATTATATCAGGTTAGCACAAAAAATGGCTTTTTTGTTGCTACCATAATCAAAAATGAACAGACTAGTGGATCAATTGCTTCAAGAGTGCAATATAGCATCTACTGCCACATCTAGGGACAGCAAGCTAACATTAAATGCAAGAATGTAACTTTTCCTTCAATAGGTAGTAATGACAGGGCAGAATGGAGTGGGAAGAATTCTGCTGCCCCTTTTATACTCCTCAGACTTTGCCATCTTACATCAGCTTCCCACTTTATAATAGAGGTTATATTAAAAAGTAAATAATTGTTTGCGATTCTTAGTTAAAGACAGTTCTGAAGAAATAATTTTCTTTATATAGTCGGTGAATAAAATTATATATTATAGCTCAAAATTTTATTTATTGTGGGCATGAATTTCCTGTTGTACCTCATGTATTTCACAGAATAATCTTCAAACGGCATTACAAGTAGAAAGGGGAAGAAGTAATGAAACATGCATTGCAATGTCAAGACGCGAACTCTATAAACAAGTGAGATGGGTGGTGTAGAAATTTAATAAAAATAAAAATCTAGAAAATGAGAGTTGGGAATTAAATAAATGCAACATTCATGTTGAATCATTTAATTAGAAGGGATGTTGAGCTGCCTACCTCTAGCTAAATACATAAAGCAGTTGGACTTGTGCTTATATTGGACAGTCGCTTGTCTGAAATGATATAGAGTCCTCCTGCTTGAGCAGGGGGCTGGACTAGAAGACCTCCAAGGTCCCTTCCAGGTCTATTCTGATTGATTGATATTAGCCAAAGTCTTCACACTACTATAACTATTGTGTATTTATAGAACTAAACACCTATTATTTATCCTTAGTGGATCAAACATTTGCTTCACTGTGGAAAGGCATGTATTATTGTATTTGAACAGCTAAGTGCGTAGCTTGCACAAAAAATCTTCCTCACTCTTAGATCAAAGATTGAGAGAACTCAGATTAGAATCTGTTAGTACACAATAACTGTGGGTGAATTACAATATGCACAGTATAGTTTGTAGTGATATGTTGAAGAGCATACTGTAAGGAGAAGGGATAGAAAAAGAAAGTTGTTATAATTACAAGCAAGATCTGCTCACATATATTTCTGGCTGGTTGTTATACATTAACTATACAAATCACATAAAACATTTAAAATCAATTATGTTGAACATGTTTTTCCTGTTAATTCTGTATCTGGACTGCTGTCCTGTCCCATAATACGATATCAAAAGTTTTTCTCTTTTCCTATGGAATCAGTATAGGACTTCAACTTCTTTAAAATTGGGTTTTAGCTTCAGAACTTACTTTTCTTCACAAATATTTCTAACACATAACAGTTTCATGTTATTCTGCACAAACTGAATAAACTCTTAAGTTGTGTTGCTCATACTCTTAATTTCAGGAACTCTGGAACTTCTGAAAGAAATGAATCTAAGTATTTATATGAAATCATGCTAGAAGAAAAAAGTTACTGTTTTTCTAACAAGGAGATGTATCGGCAGATTCAATCTGATGGATGACAGTTAACCACTTTTTTTTTGGGCTAGAGAATCTACAGAAGGTCTAACCGCAAGGAAAAGTCTGATTCTTAAATAATTGCAATGAAGGAACCTTTTGATTTCTCCCAGATCACTTCCGCATGTGGTATGGACTTTATTTTTTCATCTTTTTCAGTATCTGATGAAATGGGTACCGTACGATATTTACTAATAATTATTTTTTCCTTAATAGTCCTTGCTGAAATTCTCTAATATATTTTTATTAGATTTGTTTGATTTGCTATTATTAAAAGAAAAATGGGTTCAATCTTATCAGTCTAACTTTTAAAACAAACACAGGATTCTATAGCCAAATATTTAAATAAACAAAAGTTATTACCTAAATGAGAGAAACAAAACATAGATTATATGCAGCATCATTCAATCCATAAACAACAGTTACCTTGTTTTGCAATCCCAGGTATATCTTCAAATGTAAGTGTTCTCAGTGACGGTCTCCAGAATGCGTAAGATTCTACTAAAGCTTCCAGCCCCATCCTAGACAACACAACAAGAATATTTTGTGATCTGAATTACCTAAAAGTTGTTCACATTTTCAGGATGGTATAATTTCACTGAGCATGATTCACAGATAAAGCTGAAGTGCACTGCAGCAAATATGGAATAAAGGCAGGTTACAAATGTTGTTGGAGATGCAACTCAAGATAGCTCATGGTTTCATTTCGTCCTATTACTATTACATATTGCACTATTATCTATAGGTTTATTAATATGACATGGGAGTGACTGCTGCATGTGATAATACATTCTTCTTCTCCTCTCCAAATTTCCCAAATTATAGATTTTACGGCTTGAGCATAGCTAAAAGAATTATTATATGACCCCAGGGAAGAAATTTATGTGCTATTAGCCAGCAAAGGATTGTGGTTTTTTTTGTAAACATCTGAATTAGGATTTCCTACAACATCCCATCTCATCCTGAAAAGTGGGAAATAAAGCTTTCAAGCAATATTTACTTGAATTTTTTTTAGTTTTGTTTATAACCTTCCAGGGATTTAATCTTTTTACTTCCTTTTTATTATCTTCATAATTAATTTTGAAGTTACACAATTTTGTTAACGATATACGCTCTCAATTTTTTCAGCATACATTTTTTTAAAATGTTTAAAATGCGTGGGTTTCTGCAAGCTCAAGCAAAGCTTTGAACCTGAGCAATTCTTTTGTACAATAGGAAAAAAAAAACATGACCCAGTTTTAATTTTTTTAATTCATGGTTTGTCATTTAAATCAACCCAATTGTTTTAATTTGTCTTGTTTTGAAAGTTAGTTTATATTAAAACAGTGGTGTGCAAATCACGCCTTCCAAAGTTGCAGAACTATACTGTAACGCCGATCATTTGTCACCAGCGGTCACGTTGAGGGCTTGCTGGGAGACCACATTCTTTATACCTCTGTTTTAAACCATGATGATTTGGCAGAATATCTTACCCAACAAGGAGTTGGAGAAAGCTCTATCACTTACTAAACAAATGAAATTCTCAACTTGGAAGTCTTATTCAGGTTTGAAGAATTTCTTGCATAATCTAATATTACATAATTGATTACTCATATATTTGTAGTATAATGTTCCTATTATAATAATCATATCCACCAGAATATTAATACCAATACAGCACTCAAGCTTTGGTTCTATGGACCTCAAAATCATTTCCGATGAACTTCCTTGTTCTCATAAAAAATGCCAAAGATAAAGGATGTTGGTTTTTCTCTTTCTGGCTGCTACTAAATCAAATATTTTAAAAACTAAAAATACATTGTCTCCCAATGTGTGAACTAATTTTCAGTGTGAACTATTTCTGCAATTGCCAGAATGTTGGTTTGCTTAAAAAAANTGGTTATCTTCGAGACCGCCTCCTGCCACAGATTACCCCCCACCGACCTGTACGCTCCCACAGAGTGGGTCTCCTCAGGGTGCCGTCAGCCAGACAGTGCTGGCTGGCGACCCCAAGGGGGAGGGCCTTCTCTGTGGGAGCACCCACCCTCTGGAACGAACTGCCCCCAGAGATCAGGGTGATCCCTGATCTCCCTTCCTTCCGCCGCGCCCTCAAGACGTGGTTGTTCCAGCTCGCAGGACTGGCCTAAGGGATTTTAAAGGGGTTTTAATTACTTTTAAATTTGACGTATCTAAATATTTCTTTTTAATCAATTTTTAATTAGATGTATATGTTAGTATTTTAATCATTGTCAGCCGCCCTGAGTCCGCAAGGAGAAGGGCGGGATACAAATGTAATTAAATAAATAAATAAATAAATAAAATAGCATCTACTGCCACATCTAGGGACAGCAAGCTAACATTAAATGCAAGAATGTAACTTTTCCTTCAATAGGTAGTAATGACAGGGCAGAATGGAGTGGGAAGAATTCTGCTGCCCCTTTTATACTCCTCAGACTTTGCCATCTTACATCAGCTTCCCACTTTATAATAGAGGTTATATTAAAAAGTAAATAATTGTTTGCGATTCTTAGTAAAAAACAGTTCTGAAGAAATAATTTTCTTTATATAGTCGGTGAATAAAATTATATATTATAGCTCAAAATTTTATTTATTGTGGGCATGAATTTCCTGTATTTCACAGAATAATCTTCAAACGGCATTACAAGTAGAAAGGGGAAGAAGTAATGAAACATGCATTGCAATGTCAAGACGTGAACTCTATAAACAAGTGAGATGGGTGGTGTAGAAATTTAATAAAAATAAAAATCTAGAAAATGAGAGTTGGGAATTAAATAAATGCAACATTCATGTTGAATCATTTAATTAGAAGGGATGTTGAGCTGCCTACCTGTAGCTAAATACATAAAGCAGTTGGACTTGTGCTTATATTGGACAGTCGCTTGTATGAAATGATACAGAGTCTCCTGCTTGAGCACGGGGCTGGACTAGAAGACCTCCAAGGTCCCTTCCAGGTCTATTCTGATTGATTGATATTAGCCAAAGTCTTCACACTACTATAACTATTGTGTATTTATAGAACTAAACACCTATTATTTATCCTTAGGGGATCAAATATTTGCTTCACTGTGGAAAGGCATGCACTACTGTATTTGAACAGCTAAGTGCGTAGCTTGCACAAAAAATCTTCCTCACTCTTAGATCAAAGATTGAGAGAACTCAGATTAGAATCTGATAGTACACAATAACTGTGGGTGAATTACAATGTGCACAGTATAGTTTGTAGTGATATGGTGAAGTGCATACTGTAAGGAGAAGGGACAGAAAAAGAAATAGAAAAGTCCAGGACAAAAGCTAGGATACAGTTGGTAATCTCAAAATATTTCTTCCTTTTTTTAATGTAGCAAATGTAGATGGGAAGGAAGGAATTTTAATGATTACTGTAATTATAAGTTGTTATCATTACAAACAAGATCTGCTCACATACACTTCTGGCTGGTTGTTATACATTAACGATACAAATCACATAAAACATTTAAAAACAATTATGTTGAACATGTTTTTCCTGTTAATTCTGTATCTGGACTGGTGTCCTGTCCCATAATACGATATCAAAAGTTTTTCTCTTTTCCTATGGAATCAGTATAGGACTTCAACTTCTTTAAAATTGGGTTTTAGCTTCAGAACTTACTTTTCTTCACAAATATTTCTAACACATAACAGTTTCATGCTATTCTGCACAAACTGAATAAACTCTTAAGTTGTGTTGCTCATACTCTTAATTTCAGGAACTCTGGAACTTCTGAAAGAAATAAATCTAAGTATTTATATGAAATCATGCTAGAAGAAAAAAGTTACTGTTTTTCTAACAAGGAGATGTATCGGCAGATTCAATCTGATGGATGACAGTTAACCACTTTTTTTGGTTTTTGGGTTAGAGAATCTACAGGAGGTCTAACCGCAAGGAAAAGTCTGATTCTTAAATAATTGGAATGAAGGAACCTTTTGATTTCTCCCAGATCACTTCCGCATGTGGTATGGACTGTATTTTTTTCATCTTTTTCAGTATCTGATGAAATGGGTACCGTACAATATTTACTAATAATTATTTTTTCCTTAATAGTCCTTGCTGAAATTCTCTAATATATTTTTATTAGATTTGTTTGATTTGCTATTATTAAAAGAAAAATGGGTTCAATCTTATCAGTCTAACTTTTAAAACAAACACAGGATTCTATAGCCAAATATTTAAATAAACAAAAGTTATTACCTAAATGAGAGAAACAAAACATAGATTATATGCAGCATCATTCAATCCATAAACAACAGTTACCTTGTTTTGCAATCCCAGGTATATCTTCAAATGTAAGTGTTCTCAGTGACGGTCTCCAGAATGCGTAAGATTCTACTAAAGCTTCCAGCCCCATCCTAGACAACACAACAAGAAGAATATTTTGTGATCTGAATTACCTAAAAGTTGTTCACATTTTCAGGGCGGTATAATTTCACTGAGCATGATTCACAGATAAAGCTGAAGTGCACTGCAGCAAATATGGAATAAAGGCAGGTTACAAATGTTGTTGGAGATGCAACTCAAGATAGCTCATGGTTTCATTTTGTCCTATTACTATTACATATTGCACTATTATCTATAGGTTTATTAATATGACATGGGAGTGACTGCTGCATGTGATAATACATTCTTCTTCTCCTCTCCAAATTTCCCAAATTATAGATTTTAGGGCTTGAGCATAGCTAAAAGAATTATTATATGACCCCAGGGAAGAAATTTATGTGCTATTAGCCAGCAAAGGATTGTGGGTTTTTTGTAAACATCTGAATTAGGATTTCCTACAACATCCCATCTCATCCTGAAAAGTGGGAAATAAAGCTTTCAAGCAATATTTACTTGAATTTTTTTTAGTTTTGTTTATAACCTTCCAGGGATTTAATCTTTTTACTTCCTTTTTATTATCTTCATAATTAATTTTGAAGTTACACAATTTTGTTAACGATATACGCTCTCAATTTTTTCAGCATACATTTTTTAAAAAAGTTTAAAATGCGTGGGTTTCTGCAAGCTCAAGCAAAGCTTTGAACCTGAGCAATTCTTTTGTACAATAGGAAAAAAAAAAACATGACCCAGTTTTAATTTTTTTAATTCATGGTTTGTCATTTAAATCAACCCAATTGTTTTAATTTGTCTTGTTTTGAAAGTTAGTTTATATTAAAACAGTGGTGTGCAAATCACGCCTTCCAAAGTTGCAGAACTATACTGTAACGCCGATCATTTGTCACCAGCGGTCACGTTGAGGGCTTGCTGGGAGACCACATTCTTTATACCTTTGTTTTAAACCATGATGATTTGGCAGAATATCTTACCCAACAAGGAGTTGGAGAAAGCTCTATCACTTACTAAACAAATGAAATTCTCAACTTGGAAGTCTTATTCAGGTTTGAAGAATTTCTTGCATAATCTAATATTACATAATTGATTACTCATATATTTGTAGTATAATGTTCCTATTATAATAATCATATCCACCAGAATATTAATACCAATACAGCACTCAAGCTTTGGTT